GTCCACGGGGGGCTCGGGGGAGCCCCTGTCCGGCACCCCGCACCTGCACCACACCTGGGGAGGGGGGAGCAGGGGGACTTCCCCACGGCGGCCGTGTTGGGGGGTGAGGGGGGGTCCCCACGCAGGACTGGGGGGGGCTCAGCTGTCCCCTGGTTGTGCCAAGGGCGTGAACCCCAAAACCACCTGCAGGGGCGACGCCTCATTCCTGTCCCGACTGCGCTCGGCCTCAGCCTCTGCACGGGGGGGCTCAGCCCTGCCGGGGGTCTTCTCCCACCCGCCCCATCCCCACCTCACCGAGTGCCCCCCAGCCATGGGGAGGACGCAAGGGGGTCCCGACCCCCGGGACAGGACTTTGCCTGTCCCCCCCCGCCCAGCCTTCGCCGCTCTGTGGGAGCTGAGGAGGGGCTGCAGCCGCAGAGACCCCCCCCCCACCATCTCCCCCAGTCCCAGATACTTAAAGCTTCCCAAGGCCACTCACCCCCGCGTGTCCCCCCTCCGCCACCTCCTCCTGGAGCCCCTCGGGGGGTTACAGCTAGCGACAGCAGCGCCGTGGTGGTCAGGAGGGGGGGATGGAGCCCCCCCCCAGCCCAGCCGGGGGGGCCTGGGCTCATCACCCAGCAGATCTGATTTCCTGACACTCCATTTTTACTTTCTGTGTTTCATGAATAAAATCAAACGAGTCAATTCCCTCTCGGGAATCCCCCCGCCCCCCAAGGCAAAGGCTCCTGCAACTTGTCCCTCCCTGGCACGCGTGGGGAGGGGGAGACGCGTGCCCGCGTGTGGGGGTGGCTCGGCGTGACCCCCCCCTTGCCGTGTCCATCCATTGCAGAGCATCTGTCGGTGCTGGAGCTGCTTCAAGACAAATGGGTTTGTTTTGATCAAATCCGGAGCAGGGCGCTGCCCTGGCCCCCCCCGCCCCGCCCACGCAGGCGGCGGTGCTGAGGAGGGGGCACCGGGGGGGGGGCTCAAAGCTGGGGGACACGGGCATGGCCAAGGGGCATGGGGTGGGCATGAGGGTGTGGGAGTTTCCTGCACGGGGATAACCCCGGGAGATGCTCTGAGCCCCGACCCCTCTGCGCTGGGGGTCCAGGACCCTCCCCCGCTCCCAGAGCTCCGGGAGGGGCCGGGGTCTGCCCAGCCTTGTGCCCACCGCGTGTCAGGGAAGGGCAGCAGAGCTGTTCCTGCCCCTCAGCTCTTTGGGCCTGTTGGGGAGAAACTTTCCTGGTCTCTTTTGGGGGTCAGAAGGGAGCTGGATGGGTGGGGGGACCCCCCTGGTCTCCCCCCGGCTCCGGTGGGCGCCTTGGACTGGGGGTCCCAGTGCCACATCCCAGCAGGACCGTGCTGGGGGCACTGGGCCAAGGGGCCGGGGGGGCTGCACCCCCAGGACAGCAGTGACAGCCTTGTCCTTGTGCAGGAGGGAGGGACCCCCGGCGTGTGGGGGATCCTCAGAGTGTGGGGGACCCCCAGAATGTGGGGAGCCCCGAGATGCCACCCCCGTGCCATGGGTTTGCTGGCAGTGCCAGCTGGGTGACACTGCTGTGTCAGGATCAACCCCTGCTGGATGGACAAACTCTCCCGGCCCAGTGGGTGCCTGTCCCCAGTTTGGGGGCTCCCCAGCCCCCCACCCTTGGTGGCTGCTGCTGTGCTGGCAGTGCTGGCACAGGCAGGGGGACGAGCCCACCTCTGATTGCAAGTGACACCCCCCCCTGCCCAGCCTTCGCCAGCCTCCTGCGTTATTTTTATTTCATTCCATTATTTCCTGTTCATTGGGCATTCAATTTTGGGGGTCCCTCTGGGGGACCCCGCTGCTGAGGGTCTCAGCAGCCCCCCAGGCACACCCAGGACCCTCAGCTGGGCACAGCTGGATGGAGGAAGGGCCATCTCTCCGCATCCCCCGGGGTTGTGCCAGGCAGATGCCACCCTCGCCCCGGGGTGCCCCATGCCCTGGCTTTGGGGTGACCCCACCCAGTCCTGAGCAAGATCCAGCAGCGGAGGGCAATGCCGGCCCTGGGTTGGGCAGGAACAGGCTGGAACGGGCAAGAACAGCGGGATGAAGCCACGGTGGGATGGCTGAGTGCCACAGCAGGAGCAGGACGGGCATGAGGGTGTCCTTCCTCCCGCTGCTCCATCCCTGCTGCCTTTGCCACGATGTGCCCCGCCACACCCGCTGCGCCCCTGCCTCGGTTTCCCTCCTTTTTGGCACAGGCAGGTGAGGCAGCGGCCCCCCCCGCCCCGCCCACGCAGGCGGCGGTGCTGAGGAGGGGGCACCGGGGGGGGCTCAAAGCTGGGGGGCACGGGCATGGCCAAGGGGCATGGGGTGGGCATGAGGGTGTGGGAGTTTCCTGCACGGGGATAACCCCGGGAGATGCTCTGAGCCCCGACCCCTCTGCGCTGGGGGTCCAGGACCCTCCCCCGCTCCCAGAGCTCCGGGAGGGGCCGGGGTCTGCCCAGCCTTGTGCCCACCGCGTGTCAGGGAAGGGCAGCAGAGCTGTTCCTGCCCCTCAGCTCTTTGGGCCTGTTGGGGAGAAACTTTTCCGGTCTCTTTTGGGGGTCAGGAGGGAGCTGGATGGGTGGGGGGACCCCCCTGGTCTCCCCCCGGCTCCGGTGGGCGCCTTGGACTGGGGGTCCCAGTGCCACATCCCAGCAGGACCGTGCTGGGGGCACTGGGCCAAGGGGCCGGGGGGGGCTGCACCCCCAGGACAGCAGTGACAGCCTTGTCCTTGTGCAGGAGGGAGGGACCCCCGGCGTGTGGGGGATCCTCAGAGTGTGGGGGACCCCCAGAATGTGGGGAGCCCCGAGATGCCACCCCCGTGCCATGGGTTTGCTGGCAGTGCCAGCTGGGTGACACTGCTGTGTCAGGATCAACCCCTGCTGGATGGACAAACTCTCCCGGCCCAGTGGGTGCCTGTCCCCAGTTTGGGGGCTCCCCAGCCCCCCACCCTTGGTGGCTGCTGCTGTGCTGGCACAGGCAGGGGGACGAGCCCACCTCTGATTGCAAGTGACACCCCCCCCTGCCCAGCCTTCGCCAGCCTCCTGCATTATTTTTATTTCATTCCATTATTTCCTGTTCATTGGGCATTCAATTTTGGGGGTCCCTCTGGGGGACCCCGCTGCTGAGGGTCTCAGCAGCCCCCCAGGCACACCCAGGACCCTCAGCTGGGCACAGCTGGATGGAGGAAGGGCCATCTCTCCGCATCCCCCGGGGTTGTGCCAGGCAGATGCCACCCTCGCCCCGGGGTGCCCCATGCCCTGGCTTTGGGGTGACCCCACCCAGTCCTGAGCAAGATCCAGCAGCGGAGGGCAATGCCGGCCCTGGGTTGGGCAGGAACAGGCTGGAACGGGCAAGAACAGCGGGATGAAGCCACGGTGGGATGGCTGAGTGCCACAGCAGGAGCAGGACGGGCATGAGGGTGTCCTTCCTCCCGCTGCTCCATCCC